ATTTTAACTGCCAATTACGTGTTCATGCAACCCTGTACCCAAATGAAATTACGTCCTTTTTCCCCCCCCCCCACGAATTGAGCTTTCTTTGGTGGTATTTGATCGCCTGTTGGGTTTTTTTTTTTGCACTATAAAAAAAAGACAATTTTGAGAAAAAATTTTTTTTGACTTTTTGCTATTAAACATGTCCAGTGAAAAAATTTAAAAAATCTAATTTCATTATAAAAAATCGCAATATGTGTAAATTAAGTGATTTATGTAAAAAGTTATAGCATTTACAAATGGCGGTATATATACTGGGATTTCTTTTTAATTTTTACTAGTAATGGCGGCGATCAGTGACTTATAGCGAGACTGCGGCGGGCATTCTGACACTGGGGAGAAATGACTTGGTGTCTCTGACATACATAGTGACACCAGTACAGTGATCAGTGCTAATAAAAAGCACTAAAACTGTACTAATGGCACTGGGCAGTAAGGGGGTAACATGTGGGGCGATCAAAGGGTTAACTGTGTGCTGTTTTACTAGGGGCTGTGTGTTAGTGCTTTGCTGTAAGCACACTGCTTTGCATGGGTGTGCTGTGCATAGCCATGCAAAGCAGTATGCACAAACTGACAGGGAGGAGAACTTTTGTTTACTAACACTTCTCCTACTCGGCAGTCACCAGGCACTGGCGAGTAATCACCGGCCGGGACCTGTTGATTGCCAGCTGTGGCCGCGAATGGCGGCGTGGTTAGGGTGCACACTCCCTACCCGGAAATGAAAAATCACACATATATACGTGATTTTGCGCACCCGTGCCGCCCTGTAGCAGTATATCTGCTATAGGGCGGATGGGAAGTGGTTAATCACTATTGGGTTTTTATTTGTTTTGAAAACAGTTTCAGTTATAAAATTTTGCAGATAAGTAATTTTTCTTCTTCACTGATATGCCCTGGTGAGGCTGCCCTGATTCAGTGTAAACAATGTGCTGGTTATAAGCTCTCCTTTCCACACACAGACACAGCATGAAAGGAAAGGAGAGCTGATCTATGAGGGGCACAGTGGGGTTTATTTACTAAAGCCGGAGAGTGCAAAATCAGGCTCACCTCTGCACAGAAACCAATCAGCTTCCAGGTTTTATTGCCAAAGCTTAACTGAACAAGCTGAAGCTGGAAGTTGATTGGTTTATATGCAGAAGTGAGCCTGATTTTGCCCTCTCCAGCTGTAGTGAATAAACCCCAGCGTGTCAGGAAAGGACTTCTAATAACTGGCAAGTCTGTTTACATGTTATCAGCTGTGATTGGACAAAGATGATCACATGGTAAAAGGCTGCTATGATAGGCCCTTTCACTCGCAGTGATGAGCTCTGTCCAAAGGGGTCACACAGGCTGTGGAGTTCTGGGAGGACATCCCTGGGCGCCCTCCCAAAACTGGAAGAGCACGCTGTAGCTGTCCTTTGGCTATAGCGATCAGGAAGTGGTTAATCAATTAATCAATTCAGTTATTGTTTAAAAGCAGCATAGGCACAGAAACCACATTATTCTATAGAGATGGTTAGATCAGCTCCTAATTTGCATATATTCAGCCTACCAGCAAATCTGCCATTTGATATTACAGAAAAGTTTTAGCGTAGGTTTACATTTTATTTAGTTTCAGTATTTCAATTGCTGGGAATGAAAACCAGATTTTTTTATGTAGTGCAGTGCCCTCTGCAGGCAAAATTCAGTACTATATTTGAACAAGGGCAATACGAACTAGCAGTCCAAAAAATAATTATCAGTTAGTTATAATGTCGTTTACATGTGCATTTATACAAAGATGTATTAAACAACATTCAGAGATCAAACTAAACAATGTGCGTATATAATAAAGTTTTATATAGAATACAGAAAAGAAAAATGCATAGAATAGTGTGATATCTCTCGCTCTCTCTCTCTCTCTCTCTCTCTCTCTCTCTCTCTCTCTCTCTCTATATATATATATCTATATATCTCTCTCTCTATATCTATATATATCTCTCTCTCTATAATATATATCTCTCTCTCTATATCTATATATAATAATCCTCTTAGATTGTAAGCTCCAAGGAGCAGGACCCTCCTAACCCTCTTGTATAGAACTGTATCATTGCTGTATTATCTCCCGTTATATTGTAAAGCGCTGAGCAAACTGTTGGTGCTATATAAATCCTGTATAATAAAATTGACAATGACCGTTTCTTCAAAGAATGTTTGGTGTCTCAAATGAACATGTTCTGAAGTCAAAGCAAATGTTTAATACTGAACATTACCTAGTGTGTTCTTTTCCATGATCGTTACAATACATTTAATTGATAAAATGGTGGTTTGAAATATAACCTCACTTTCACTTTGTATTATGCATTTCAATTTGTCCCTACAGCGTGTGAAAAAAAATGCTAATATGACGCATTAAGTCTGCTTTCAGACGGATTGTCCTCTGCTGACTAGGTGTTTAAAACTGGCTTTGCTGTGGGCAAGCTCCTTAACCACTTCCCACGTGCCCGCCCGCCAGCAATGTATTGCGGACGGGCAATAGCTGCAGAGCAAAGTGACGTACCCATATGTCGCTTTACCCTTCCGGGTCATTCGTTGTAGGAGGTGTATCTCAACAGGTCTCACCCAGTGATTTTGGCTGGGATCTCCTACAGAGAATGGAAATGCAGAGCTGTTCCTGTATTTGTAAATACAGGCATAGGATTTAGCTGGTTCTTCTTTCCCTGGAACATTTTTGTTCCAGAGAGAGACATCACACATGAGTAAAAGCAACACATTTGCACTGACACACGTTAGATAGAGCCATTTTAACCCCATGATTGCCGCATTTAATCCTTTGCTTGCCCCCTGCCAGTGCCATTAATACAGTGTTAGTGTACAGTATTTTTCACTGATCACTGTATTAGTTCCGCTAGCAAGGTCAGATAGCGCCAGGGTCAGTTAGCATCCCTCCCAGCTAGGGTCAGCTAGCGTTAGATTGCCAGCACACTATCACACTCACGCTATAGGTAGCTGATCACCGTCATTACTAGTATAGTGTTTGTATGGATCAATATATTTATTGATCATGAACAAAACTATACCAGTGCCCCCTTAGTATTAGTATCCCCAAAAACACAGTGTTAGCAGGATCATCCCCATTCGCTGCTAGCACTAGCGTTTAGCCCCAATGCTCCACCCCCCCCCCCCAACAAGAAGTACAGTTTCAGTATAATTTCTGATCACTGTCACCAGTAATACATTGTCACCTGTAATAAATCGCAGTGTTCGCAGAATCAAGCCTGATCTCTGTCAGCACTTGCTAGTATATTTTTTTGTAGCAGTTCAAGCTACAAAAAAGGTGCTCTTTTTCTCGTGCGTTGCACTAGGTACATGTACAGTTGTGTCCAAAATTATTCAACCCCCACTGAAATTGAGTGTTTTGGCCAGTTTGACATTGCTTTTGATCATTCAGTCATCTTGCTTACATTTACATTAAAGAGGCACTTGTAGGTCAGACAAATATAAACATAACAGTTATAATGAAATAACCACAAATGTCTTTTCTGTGCTCACAGCATTATCAGTTTTATTCAACCCCCAAGTGACATTCAATCTTAGTACTTAGTACAGCATCCTTTTACAGTTATAACAGCTTTTAAAACGTGAAGCATAGCTTGACACAAGTGTCTTGCAGCGATCTACGGGTATTCGCCCATTCTTCATGGGCAAAGGCCTCCAGTTCAGTCACATTCTTAGGCTTGCGCACTGCAACTGCTTTCTTTAAGTCCCACCAGAGGTTCTCAATCGGATTTAAGTCTGGTGACTGCGATGGCCACTCCAAAATGTTCCAGCCTTTCCTCTGCAACCATGCTCTAGTGGACTTGAGGTATGCTTGGGATCATTGTCCTGTTGAAAGGTCCAACGTCTCCCAAGCCTCAGGTGTGTGACGGACTGCATCACGTTTCCATCCAATATCTCCTGGTACTGAAGAGAATTCATGGTACCTTGCACACGCTGAAGCTTCCCTGTACCTGCAGAAGCAAAACAGCCCCAAAAGCATGATTGACCCTCCACCATGCTTCACAGTAGGCAAGGTGTTCTTTTCATCATAGGCCTTGTTCTTCCTCCTCCAAACATAGCGTTGATCCATGGGCCCAAACAGTTCTAATTTTGTTTCATCAGTCCACAGAACACTATCCCACAACTTTTGTGGTTTGTCCACATGGCTTTTGGCATACTGCAGTCGACTCTTCTTATTCTTTGGAGACAGCAAGGGGGTACGCCTGGGAGTTCTGGCACGGAGGCCTTCATTACGCAGTGTGCGTCTTATTGTCTGGGCTGAAACTTCTGTACCCACATCTGACAAATCTTTTCTCAGTTCCTCAGCAGTCACACGGGGACTTCTCTCCACTCTACGCTTCAGGTAGCGCACAGCAGTCGAAGTCAGCATCTTCTTTCTGCCACGACCAGGTAGCGTTTCAACAGTGCCCTTTGCCTTGAATTTGCGAATGATGCTTCCTAAGGTGTCTCTTGGTATGTTTAACATCTTTGCAATCTTCTTATAGCCATTGCCCTTCCTGTGAAGAGAAATCACCTCTTCTCTTGTCTTCCTGGACCATTCTCTTGCCTTCACCATGTTTGTAACCACACCAGTAAATGTCTAGAAGGAGCTGAGTATCACAGTCATTTTAAAGCTGCCTAATTGGTGCTTATTATGCTTGATTGCTGCTCGGTGACATCCACAGGTGTTTTCAATACCTGATGGAAAGCACCTGTATGAACCTCTGTTCTTCAGAGTGGTAGTCTTTAAGGGGTTGAATAATTGTGGCAATGAAGAAACCACATAAGAACCATTTACTACTGTATTACATAAACAATTGATGTCATTTTAGTTGCATTTGGGTAGTTACAACGTCCTTGTAGGATTTGATTCTGAATACAATTCCAAATGTACACTATAGTCCCTAAACCCCTTTACAGCATTGGGGGTTGAATAATTTTGGACACAACTGTACATTAAAATGTCCAACGAAAGGTACACTAGTGAAGAGGTCTACAGGATTCTCAGCATGTCAGGTGAGAGCAAAGGGGAAGACTCCCTGACACAATCAGCCTCAGAATATGAACCTGTAGACAGCAGTGGCACCCTGACAGGTAGGTTGAACGACAGAGAAGAGGTCTCTGGTAAGATCAGGTGTACCCGACCCCATGAAGCTGAAGTGCTAGGATCGCTTGACTTGTCTCATATGCAGCAGAGTGCCAGTACTAGTACCGCACTACCTTTTGGTGAACTGGCGAGCACCAGCGGCCTAGTATGTCCTGGTCTTTTTTATACCAGCACTGCTGTATCCCTTGGTGACGTGGCAAGTCCCATAAGTGCAGTACAAGCTGCTGTGGTGGCAAGCACAAGTATTGTCCCGCAACCACCAAGAATTCGCACACAGGCCTTTAGAACGCCTAGTGTCCTTCCGGACCTGCTTGCAAATCCTGATTGGCAGCCCACAGATTCTGCAGCACCCGTACTTCCCCCATTCACTGCCCAACCCAGAATTCAGGTGGTAACCGCACATTTAACTACTCCACTTGAATTTATGGAGCTGTTTTTCACAGAAGATTTGTACAATTTGATTCTGGCCAAAGCAATTTACTGTATATGCTCAACAATATATCGCCGCAAACCCAAATTCAACCCTTGCCAGACCATTCGCATGGAAACCCATTACGGTTTCCGAATGTAAAACTTTTTTGGGCCTAACCCTCAACATGGGCATTACAAAAAAAATTGAGTTGCGGTTGTATTGGTCCACAGACCCGATTCATCATATGCCCATGTTCTCCACTGCCATAACCAGGTATAGATGTGTGACAATAATGCGCTTCATGCATTTTAGTGATAACACACTCTGTCATTCTCGGGGTGACCCTGAACATGACAGGCTCTACAAAATTCGGCCCCTCATAAATCACCTTAAGGAAAAATTTGCAGATGTGTATACGCTCCAGCAAAACATCTGCGTGGATGAGTCCCTCATTCACTTTACTGGCCGCCTTGCATTCAAACAGTACATCCCCAGAAAGCGTGCCAGATATGGGGTCAAATTGTATAAGCTATGTGAGAAGGCCACAGGCTATACATACAAATTTAGAGTTTATGAGGGAAGAGACAGCAAAGTAGAGCCCCTCCCCCCCCCGACTACCCAGACTACTATATGGGGAGCAGTGGCAAGATAGTTTGGGACTTGGTGTAGTTTTTGTTCTGTAAGAGGTACCACTTATATGTCGACAATCTCTATACAAGCATGCCACTATTTAGACATTTGTACAATCTTGGAATTGGCTCATGTGGCACCAGACGACCTAATCGCCTTGGCTTCCTCCAACGGCTTGTAAATACCGGGCTTATAAAGGGGGAGAAAGCCTGTTTGAGGAATGATGAATTGCTCGCAGTGAAGTGGAAGGACAAACGGGATGTTTTCACCCTATCTTCCATTCACGCAGACGCGATAGTCCAAATTAACACGGTATCTGGCATTGTTGAGAAACCCGTGTGTCCACGACTATAACCTTAACCTGGAAGGGTGTGGACTTCATCGACCAAATGATGAATCCATACCTAGTTTCCCGGAAAACTCGACACTGGTTCAAAAAGGTGTCTATTTATTTATTTCAATTGGCTATATATAACGCTTTTGTAATTTACAAAGCAACTGAACGAAATGGATCCTTCCTAAAATTCCAGGAAGAGATCATCACGCCCCTTTTGTAACCAGAAGGTGCTGTGGCCCAATCCTCAAATCCACACACTTTTTCTGGCAGAGATTTCTTCTTCTTTTTTTTAAAAAAAATTACATTATCGAATCTCACCAAGATCAGTGTGATCAAATGCTTTCCCAAATTTACAAATGGCTCTGTTTATATCCTGCGAAACTGAAGTGATGAAATGCTCGTAGCTTCCGATTTCTTAGACTATAGAGATGTTTGGCATCATTCCGGTCTCCAATCAGCTCTATGGTCAGCTGGCAGAAACACAGGCTGCATTCTCAGGTTCCCCCGATGGCACGGGACTGCCCGAGAAGGCCATGGAATGCAGCGGGGGAGGGTGTCATCATCTCCTGCTGCTTGTAAAAGCAATCCTGAAGCTACTGTAATTAGCCATTAGGATTTCTTTTTACATGAAAGCTGATCGTCGGCTGAAAAAAATACCAGGATGATGCCTGCAGCTGTAGGCATCATCCAGGTATAAACCAAAGTCCAGTGATGTACCAGTACATCACTGGTCCTTTTTGGGTATATATGCTCTTTTTTTTTGTATGTAGCCTGTGGGCTGAATGCAAAAAAAAGAAAAGAAATCTCTGCCAGAAAAAGTGTGTGGTATGCCCACTATTAGAATATACCGCCCTGCATCCTCCCACTTCTAATGGTGGGCACACATTAAGCCGCATGGTGCCACATGCGCCAATTCCAAGATTGCACAAATGTCTAAATAGTGGCACACTTGAATAAAAATTGTCCACGTATACTGTGATACCTCATATGGAAAAAGGATGACACCAAGTCCCAAACTAACTTGCCACTGCTCCCCATGTAGTCTGGGCATCCGGGGGACTCCATGTGACTATCTTTTCCCTCGTAAATCCAAAACGTATATGTATAGCCTGTTGCCCACTCACAGGTCTACATCTTGACCCCATATCTGGCATGTTGCTGGGCAGAAAAACTGTTTGAATTCAAGGCGGCCAGAAAAATTATTGAGGGACTCATCAACTCAGATTTTTTGCTGGGGAGTATAGACATATGCAAATTTTAGGGGTACTACAGCATTGAGACGTCACGCCACCGCTGGTGGCCATCCTGATATATATGGTCAGTGGTTTTTACATTTTTTTATGCATTTTATACACCTGTCTTTTGTGGAATACAATCCCTTTATGCAGTATCACACTATGTGGTGTCCTTCATTGAGCTCTCCTTGTGAGTGCCGTCATTTGCAGAGCCCATTTGAGTGGAGACTCAACACGGTGATACACATTAAGGGACCCCAAAAAACCTGACACAGATGTGACCAGACGCTGTGACACCTGCATAAGGACCCTATGGTATATAGGAACCTGCCCAAACCTGGGAGCAGTTGACCTGATTTTACCTGATGAGACAGACAGCGTACTTCTTGTGAGTGCGCATTTTGTTCATTTAGTCACCTTATCTGTCACCCCTGGAATAGTTACCCATACACGCTGATTGTGATCTTGAAGGGATCCTCACGTTTATTGGGACATTTCATCACTATTATTATCACCTTGGAGTGATATTCTTTGCACTTTATATTTAATATTTATTACTGATGTATTCATGTTCTCATCTAGATGCTATCGATGATCACTTTGCACTTTAAATACGTATATTGTCTTATTTTAGCGCTGCACCTATTTTTCTGTTATATGCAAATTTTTTGTTAAGGTGATTTACGAGGGGCCGAATTTTGTGGAGCCGGTCAGATTCAGGGTCATCCCGAGGACAACAGAGTGTGTTGTCACTGAATGCATAAAACACATACTCTCATATCTATGCCTGCCAAGGCAGCAGAGAATATGGGCATATGATGAATCAGGTCTGTGCACCAATACAACCGCAATTCATTTCTTTTTTCACTAATGGCCATGTTGAGGGTTAGGCCCAAAAAAAAATTAAATTCGGAAAACGTAATGGGTTTCCATGCGAGTGGTCTGGCAAGGTTTGAATTTGGGTTGGTGGCAATAAATCAATGCATACAGATCTTCCGTGAAAAACAGCTCCAAAAAATCAAGGGGAGTAGTTAAATTTGCTGTTTCCACCTGAATTCCGGGTTAGGCAGTGAATGGGGGAAGTACGGGTGCTGCAGAATTTGTGGGCTGCCAATCGGGATTTGCAAGCACATCCGTGATAGGTTGCCACCTGTGCAATAAATCCATCCATGACATTTCCTTGCTACTAAATATTCCACAGTCAACTGTTAGTGGTATTATAACAAAGTTGAAGCAACTGGGGAACAACACCAACTCAGCCATAAAATGGTAGGCCACATAAAATGATAGAGTGAGGTCAGAGCATGCTGAAGCGCACAGTGCGCAGAAGTCACCAACTGTCTGCAGAGCCAATAGTTAAAGACCTCCTAACTTTGTGTGGCCTCCAGATTAGCATGACAACAGTGGAGAGAAAGCTTCATGGAATGGGTTTCCATGGCCGAGCAGCTGTATCCAAGCCTACATCACCAAGTGCAATGCAAAGCGTCGGATGCAGTGGTGTAAAGCACGCCACCACTGGACTCTACAGCAGTGGAGACGTGTTCTCTGAAGTTATCAATCATGCTTTTCTGTCTGGCAATCCGATGGACGTGTCTGGGTTTGGCTGTTGCCAGGAGAATGATACTTGCCTGACTGCATTGTGCCAAGTGTAAAGTTTGGAGGAGGGGGATTATGGTGTGGGGTTGTTTTTCAGAGGTTGGGCTTGCCGCCCTAGTTCCAGTGAAGGGAACTCTTAAGGTGTCAGCATACCAACACATTTTGGACAATTTCATGCTCCCACCTTTGTGGGAACAGTTTGGGGATGGCCCCTTCCTGTTCCAACATGACTGCGCACCAGTGCACAAACCAAGGTCCATAAAGACATGGATGAGCGAGTTTGGGATGGAGGAACTTGACTGGCCTGCACAGAGTCCTGACCTCAACCTGATAGAACACCTTAGGGATGAATTAGAGCTGAGACTACGAGCCAGGCCTTCTTGTCCGACATCAGTGCCTGACCTCATAAACACGCTTCTGGAAGAATGGTCAAACTTTCCCATAGACACACTCCTAAACCTTGTGGACAGCCTGCCCAGAAGAGTTGAAGCTGTTATAGCTGCAAAGGATGGGCCAACTCAATATTGAACCCTACGGACTAAGACTGGGATGCCATTAAAGTTCATGTGTGTGTAAAGGTAGGCATCCTTTGTCAGTGTGAATAATTCCATATCTTTTCTGTAAAGACAAATGTTTTTTAGCATTATCTAAACTGGTTAAAATTAACATGAAACTAAGTACACATTTTCAAACACGTCCGTAGTTGCCAATGTACTTTTACTAATAAATGAGAGAAGCTAAAAAAACTGTAAATAATGTAATCAAAGTACAAGTACACACAACTCAGAACTGTACTGCTACATTTTGAAGCCCCTCTATACATTTGTAAGTTGTTTCAGCTCTAGAACTGCAAGATTCAGTGTAAAGCTGTGTAACTGTGAACATAAGTCATGGTGTAAGTGTACATAATTCAAAAACTGACAGATTATAAGTGCTGAAGTAGTCAACTGAAAAATAATTGGCATAGCTGGTGTGCCACACTGAGTAATTAGATTTAATAAATTGTTCCTTAAAGTGGAAGTAAACCCAATTTTGTATTATTTACCTACAGGTAAGCCTTTAACCAGTTACCATCTGCCCTATAGCAGATTTACTGCTACAGGGTGGACTCCCACTGCAAAATCAAGTATATAAATGTGATCCGTGCTCCTGACGTGCTAACAGGCAGGGGACGCGCGTGTACCTGCCGGCCCGGCAGTTGTGTGATTCGATACAGCACCAATCACTCACCACAACCAGGCCAATGATGTTTGGACTGAACCTGCTGATCGGTTGTAGCGAATCCGAGCTCATCCTGTTTACAGAACACAGGCACAGGAAATGATAAAATCTTCTCTCTCCCTGGAGCACATTACATTCCAGAGAGAGAGAGAAGAGAGCAGATCCACATGAGTCCAAGCAGCACGCTGACACAATAAAAGCACAGCATTTAACCCCCTGATCGCCCCTCCCAGTTAACCCTTTCATTCCCGTCATCACTGTCATTAGTACAGTGTACAGATTTTTTACTGATTACTGTATTAGTGTCACAGGCGACATCAGACAGTGTTAGCATCACTTCCAGATAGCGTCAGATTGCCTGCCCCTACATTACCATCACATATACCCCTTTGATTGCCAGGAACATGCTCACATACACAGTATAAGCTTCCTATGCTAGTATAGTGTCTGAACAGATCAGTATCTTTGAACAGATCAGAATTATGCTAGCGTTCACAATAGTATAATGTACCCAAAAACACAAGTGTTAGCAGGATCAGCCCCGACACCTGCCAGCACCTGCGTTTAGCCCTCTGACCCCTCCCCCCCAGCAAATGCAGTTTCAGTAGATCACCATCACTTGATAAATTGCCCGCAAAACTGCAGGGTTAGCAAGATCAGGCCTGATCTCTGCTAGCACTAGCAGGTAAATTTTATTTGTAGCGGTTTTTAAGCAGTCCCTGACAGCCAGGTGCTCTTTTTCCCATGAATTGCACTAGTTACCTATAAATTTAGTGGTCAAAATGTTAAACGAAAGGTACACTAGTGAAGAGGCCTACAGGATTCTGAGACTATGAAGATGTAGAGAGCAGCCACACCCTGATCGATAGCTCAGACAATGGAGAAGAAGTCCCCCACTAAGGTCAGGCATACCCGACCCCATGACCAGGTTGCTGAAGTGTTAGAATTGCATGATAATTCTCATATGCAGTAGACTGCCAGTACCAGTGCCGCATTACCTTTTGGTTAACTGGTGAGCACCAGTGGCCTAGTACATCCTTGTCTTTTACATATCAGCACTGCAGTATCATTTGGTGATGTGGTGAGTGAAGAACAAGCTGGTGCCATGGCTAGCACAAGTAGTGTCCCACAGTCACCAGGAAATCAAACACAGGCCCATAGAGTCCATAGTGTCCCTCCTGCTTGCAAATCCTAATTGGCAGCCTACAAATTATGCAGCACCCGAACTTCTCCCATTCACTGCCCAACCCGGAATTCAGGTGGAAACAACAACTATAACTACACCCCTTGATTTTTTTTTTCTGGATCTGTTTTTCATGGAAGATCTATATGGATATATTTATACGCACAATTTATCGGTGCCAATCCAAATTCAACCCTTGCCAGACAATTTGCATTGAAAACTATTACAGTTTCCAAATTTAAAGTTTTATTGGGCCTAAACCTCAACATGGGCATTGCTGAAAAGAATGAGTCGTGGTTATATTGGTCTACAGACCTGATTCATCATATAACGCGATTTATGCATTTCAATGACAATACACTCTGTCATCCTCAGGCTGACCCTGAATATGATAGGCTCCACAAAATTCAGCCCCTCGTAAATCACCTTAACCAAAAATTTGCAGATGTATATATGTCCCAACAAATTACTGCACAAGTTAATTTTTCCAGCTGCCTGGCATTCAGTTTCTCTCCAGCAAGTGTGCCAGATATGGGGTAAAAATAAATCCTATACTTGTAATTTTCGGATTTACGAGGGAAATGATAGTCACGTGGAGCCCCCCGGATGCCCAGACTACATTGGGAGCAGTGGCAAGATAGTTTGGGGACTTGGTGTCTCCTTTTTTCCTTATGCGGTACCACTTATATGGGGACAAGTTTTATACAACTGTGCCACTATTTAGAGACCTTTTTGATCTTGGACATGGCTCATGTGGCGACCTAATCGCTGGGGCTTCCCCCAACAGCTTGTAAATACACAACTTAGAAAGGGGGAGAAAGCCTGCTTGAAAAATGATGAATTGCTTGCAATGAAGTGGAAGAACAAAAACGGGATGTTTTTGTCCTGTCTTCCATTCACACAGATTTGACAGTCCAAATTTGCACGGCAGCTGGTCTTGTTGAGAAGCCCCTCTGTGTCCATGACTATAACCCTAAAGCGGAGTTCCACTCACACTGTTAAAAAATTAAAGTCAGCAGCTACAAAAACTATAGCTGCTGAGTTTTAAAAAACAGGCACTGACCTGTCCCACGATCCCACGGTGTCGTCCCTGCAGCCTGTTTCATGGGCCGTCCTGTGTTCCATGCGCTGGCATCTTCAGTGTGGGCACCCGGCTGTGACAGCTTGTGGCTTCACAGCCAGGTGCCAACTGCGCATGCGCAAGTAGTGTATGGCCCTGTAGTCTTCTGGGAGCGGTCACGTGTCCCAGAAGACTACAGGGAGGGTAGGAGGACAACTTCCGCTTCCCATTGCCTATGCGATCACAGCAGAAGTGGGGGCGGGTACCTGTCAATTTTGGGTACCCACTCCATAAAAGGTGCAAATCCTTATTGGGAAGCGGGGAACCAGTCTTTAAAGCAGAACTTCCCCTTTTGGGTGGAACTCCACTTTAACATGGGAGGGGTGAACCTCAACAACCAAATGATGAAGCCGTACTTAGTTTTCCATAAAGGTGTCTGTATATTTATTTCAATTGGCTCTGTACAACACTTTTGTTCTTTACAAAGCAACTGGGCGAAGCAGATAATTTCCTAAAATTTCAGGAAGAGATTATCACGGCCCTTTTGTATCCAGGTGCTGTGGCCCAAACTCCCAACCCAGATTCAGTGAGCCGTTGCATGAGAAGCATTTTCCTGATGCCATTCCTGATACCCCGAATCAAAAAAAAAAAAAAAAAAAAACTTTTTTTTTTTTTCTTAATCCCTCCTATCCTGGCCAACCTGGTCTCTGCCTCAAGCAGGCGTACGCAAGCATCGGCTATACCATACATGTGAGGTATTGCTGCAAATGTCAGATTGAGGGCAGTAATTCTAGCACTAGATCTCCTGTGTAAATTTAAAGTGTTAGCCTATAAAGGCCTTTAAATATTAAAAATGTATGTAGTTTGTCGCCGTTGCATGAAGCATGCGCAGTTTTAAAGTATGTCATATTTGGTATCTATTTACACTATCTTTTATAGTTTACCAAACATTTGACCAATATATTCTGTTTTTGTGCATTAAAATTCAGAAAAGTGTATTTTTTCCAAAAAATTAGCATTTGAAAAACCGCTGCGCAAGTGCTGTGTGACAAACAAATTGTCACCATTTTATACTCTAGAGTCAGGGGTGGCCAACCTGCGGCTCTCCAGCTGCTGCAGGACTACAAGTTCCATCATGCTTCTGCAAGTCAGTAACTTCCCATCTTTGCAATGCTTCATGGGAAATGTAGTTCCACAACAGCTGGAGAGCCACAGGTTAGCCACCCCTGCTAGAGCGTATATACACACACACACACACACACTTTCTAGCAAAATATAGATTTTTTTTTTTCACGTGAACAAAAAAGTGTCAGAAAAGGCGGGTAGAAGAGTGGGTGATGTGTGGAACAAACTTCTAATCCTGGGCACAAAATGTCAGGATAACACCCACCCCCCAAATGACCCTTTTTTGGAAAGTATGCACCCCAAACTATTTGCTGCAAGGTATGTTGGGTATGACAGAAAATGACATCTGAAAAATACTCACCATGCCTCTTAATATATTCCTTGGGGTGTCTACTTACTAAAAAGGGTCATTTGGGGGTGGGGGTTCTGCTATCCTGGCATTTCAGGCCTCTCAAACTGTGATAGGTAGCAAGGGAGTGATATTAGGAAATTACGCACCTTTAGGCTTTCAAAAGGGTCATTGCATTTCAGGCTCCTGAATGTGGCTAAGCTCACAAAGTCTCACATGTGGTATCTCCATACTCTCTAAAAGTAGCAGAATGTATTTTGGGGTGTAAATCCACATATACCCATGGTATGTGTGAGCAATATAGTGTGTGTGAGATTTCAGAGCATCTGAAACTGATCGGTAGCGAGGAAGTGAAATGAGGAAATTATACACCATCAGGCTTTCAAAGAGGTCATTGGATTTCAGGCTCTTGTATGCACCTAGGTTCCCAAGAAGTCTTACACAGGTGATATCCCCATAATCAGTAGCAGAATGAATTTTGGTGTGCAATTCCACATACACCCATGGCATGTGTGAGCAATATACCATTTTAAGTGACAACTTTTTGTAAAAAAAAAAAAAAAGTTTCATCATTTTCCAAAAACCTGTGGAAAAAAATAAATATTCCATGGACTCAACATGCCTCTCAGCAGATAGCTTAGCGTGTCTACTTTCCAAAAAGGGGTCATTTGGGGGTGTTAGTTACCACCCTGGCATTTTAGCATCTCAAGAAATGTGATAGGCAGTCAGAATGTAAAAGATGTGTAAATTCCAGTATCTGCAATGCATACTAGCACATTACGCTCTTGCAGGGATATTATTATTATTTTTTTTTTAGAACAAAAGCATCTAATTGGTCACTATGGGAAACTTTACTTCTGGTCCTGTTTTCCTAAAGGAAAAGTTCAGCTCTCGTAACATGTTACTGTAACACTAGCCCTGCACCCCATTTTTATTGTCACCCCACAAGTTTTCTATTGGATTAAGGTCTGGGGATTGGGCTGGCCACTCCAGAACATTAATCTTGTTGGTCTGAAACAAAGATACTGCTCACTTACTGGTGTTTGGGATTGTTGTCTTGAAACACCCATGTCAAGGGCATTTCCTCTTCAGCACAAGGTAACATGACCTCTTCAAGTATTTTGATGTACTCAAACTGATCCACGATCCCTGGTATGCGATAAATAGGCCCAATACTGTAGTATGAAAACCATCCTCATATCATGATGCTTGCACCACGTTTCACTGTCTTCGCAGTGTACTGTGGCTTGAATCCAGTGTTTGGGGGTCATCTGATAAACTGTCTGCAGCCCCCTACACCCAAAAAGAACAATCTTGCTTTCATCAGTCCACAAAATGTTGCTCCATTTCTCTTTTAGGGCCAGTTCACACTACATGCGTTTCAGTTGCTTTTTTTTTCTGCATCCAAAAATGAACAGAAAGTGATATGGTTGTCAATGTCATAGTTCACGTCAGTGCTTGCAGTTCCAGTTGAAGAAAGGAAAGAAAAAAAAAAAAAGTACCAGAGGCTGCATTTTTCCTGCACAGAACTGTACTGGAATGCAGCAAAGTACACCAAAAACACACATGTCCCTATTTAAGTTGAAAAGGAAAGGGAAGGGGGGGGGGGGAAATGAACGGACATGCATTAAAAAAAAAACAAAAAAAACAACACACTGGAACGTGTCAAAGACGCATCAGAACACGCTGAAAATGGACATGCAAAAAAACCCATCCAGAATGTGTTTCTACACCCTGTTCCAAATTATATTTTTTTCATCTACCTAAATAATTGATGTAAATAACAGTCAGCATAATTCTCATATTATCAACTAGTAAGAGTACAATTCAAATTTTATTGAACAAACCTCCTAATAACAGTATTTTTTTTTAAACATAAAAAACTTACAATGCACTGTTCCAAATTATTACGCACAGTAAGTTTCAAAACACTTTATAGGTTGTAAAGAACTGAAAATTGTCATTTGTTGTGTTTGCAGCATATTTACTGAAATCAAAAGCTATTTCAATCAAACTTAACAACATTTTAACAGGTCACGTTACATTTTAACATAGGACCCCTTATTCGATAGCAACTTCACAAGTCTTGCATCCATTGAACTTGTGAGTTTTTGGACCGTTTTGCTTGAATTTGTTTGCAAGATGTCAGAATATCCTCCCAGAGCTGCTGTTTGGATGTAAACTGCCTCCCACCCTCAGATCTTTTGGCTGAGGATGCTCCAAAGGTTCTCAATAGGATTGAGGTCAGGGGAGGATGGAGGCCACACCATGACTCTCTCTCCTTTTATCCCCATAACAGCCATTGATGCAGCGGTATTATTTGCAGCATGAGATGGTGCATTGTCATGCATAAAGATGATTATATTACGGAAAGCATAGTTCTTCCTTCTGTACCAGGGAAGAAAGTGGTCAGTCATAAACGCCACATACTTTGCAGAGGTCATCTTTACACCTTTGGGGACCCTAAAAAGGGGCCAACCAGCTCTGTTCCCATGATTCCGGCTCAAAACATGACTCCACCACCGCCTTGCTGACATCGCAGCCTTGTTGGAACAGGGTGGCCGTTCACCAACCATCCAGGGTTGCACGGCACTCACCAGTGAAACAGGACTGTTTGAAAATTAGTCTTCATGTATTTTTCTGCCCAATGCAGCCGTTTCTGCTTGCGAGCATTGGTTAGTGGTAGCCGAATAGGTTTATGCACAGTTGCAAGACTCTGGAGAACTCTACACCTTGATGTCCGTGGGACTCCAGAGGCACCAGCAGCTTCAAATATCTGTTTGCTGCTATGTAATGGTATTTTAGCAGCTGCTCTCTTGATCCGAGGCATGGATCTGGCAGAAATCTTCCTCAATGTGCCTTTATCTGCACGAACCCGTCTGTGCTCTGAATCAGCCACAAATCTCTTAATAGTGCGATGATCACGCTTAAGTTTTTGTGAAATATCTAATGTTTTCATACCTCGTTCAAGGCATTGAACTATTTCACTTTTTTCGGCAGCAGAGAGATCCTTTTTCTTCCCCATATTGCTTGAAAATGGTGCTCTGCTTAATAATGTGGAACCCCCTCCTTTAGTAGTTTTTCCTTAAATTGGGCTCACCTGCCAATCTAATTATCACAGGTGTCCGAGATTGTTTTCAGTGATCAAAAGAGCCCTGAGACACAATGCCATCCATGAGTTAAACTGAAAAACAAAATATTTCATCTTTGTGACACTTAAATAGAATTTGCATAATAATTTGGAACAGGGTGTATAGTGTTAACCGGCCTTTAGGTCAGTCAATGTGTTCATTAGCAAATTTTAACCTCTTTAGCATATCTTTTTTTCAACAATGAGACTTTGCAGGGGCTACTTGAAAACAGCTTGGCTTCAACATAGGCATCTTCTAATTGTTACAGTACTCACAGGTACCTTTAGACCTTCTTTGATCACCCTGGAGCTCATCGGATGAATCTCTGCCATTTTGACTATGGTTCAATCCATTCAAATTGTAAATTTTCCCATTTTTGTCAACATCTTTCTGGTTTTGATTACATTTGAGATCATTTTAGCTGAGCAGCCTATCAGTTTCTGTACTTCTTTATAGGTTTTTTTCCCCTCTCCAATAAAAATGTTTTAATCAAAGTAGGCCGTTCTTTTGAACAATGTCTGGAATAATCCATTTTACTCAGATTTTCAGAGAGAAATGCACTATACCCAGCCTGTACAGCATTTGCCCTTTCTTATTTTAAGCTTTATCCTATTCCTGGTGAGCTGCTAATACTTAACCACTTGCCAACCGCGCTATAGCGCGTCTGTCCAGTTCTGGGAGGGCATCATGAAGCCCTCCCATGCGCCCCACACCCAGCGATCTCCGTGATAGCCTTGTCCTATGGATACAGCTAATCACATGATGTGGTAAAAAGCCAATCACAGCGGCCTTTAACAACGTGATCAGCTGCACTTTCCTCATGCTGTCACAACATGATGAAAGTACAGCCGATAACCGGCAAACGTCAGAGAAGATCGGCACTGATCTGTGCCCAGCATTGCCACCCACCAGTGCCCAGCAGTGCAGCTTCATCAATGCACATCAGTGAAGGAGAAAAATTACCTGTTAGAAACCAAACATTTTGCAAATTTTTAACTTTTTTGTTTAGAGCACAAAACCCCCCCCCCCCCCCCCCCCCAAAAAAAAAAAAAGCACAAAAAATACCACCAAAAGAAAGCTATTTGTGTGGAAAAAAAATTATAAAAATTTCATATGGGTACAATGTTGCATGACTGTGCAATTGTCAAAGTGCAACAGCGCTGAAAGCTGGCATGGGCAGGAAAGGGGTATAAGTGCCCAGTAGGCAAGTTGGTAACCAAAAAAAAAAAAAATTTTAAAATCCTTTCCAGCCCTCTGAGAATTGCACTCTGTTAAAATAAAAGGTAAATACCTGTGGGAGGGGCTACCGTCTCTTATGGATTCTCATGACGACAATCTTGTCTGGATCCACTTTTACTTCTCCTGTGTTTGATTTCGGGCTCTGGGCCGACTGCTCTCCCCCTCCCCTCACACAACACACAGCTCAGATCGATTCTCTTACAGACACCTATCTACACACTGGGTAGCTGCATGCTATTCTGCAGTTCTGACATGTAATGTGCCCAGAACAAAAACAGCTGTGAGCTGTGTGTTGCTGCAAGAGGGGGAGAGCAGACAGCCCAGAGCCAACATCAACCAAACACAGGGGAAGGAAAGGACGTGGATCCAGACAAGATTGTCGCATAAGAATCCAGAGAAGACTATTTACAGGTATTTACCTTGATTTTAAAACAAAGTGCACTTCTCAGAGGGCTGTAAAGATTTTTTTTCATGTATTAGCAGCGCTCAGGGAATAGGATAAAGCTAAAGAAAACCCATACTTTTAATAAGGGCCACCTGCTTTTTCAAACTGAATGACCTCACTATTGAACTCCACACTATTTTCAACACGCCCCTTTCAATTAATGATTCAATTACACAGAATCTGTTGGTTTTCTATTACACTTACTAGTAAATTTGCCACGTAGAAATAGAACTTATATCAAAAACACTGATTGAGCTGGTTACTGATGTTGGACTGCTATTATTTTGAACACAACTGTACTTTTTTTTTGTAGAACTGACTTTTAAATAAAAATGTACAACAAAGAGGGATCAGGGTACTTCACCATTCCAAGCCACAGGACCCCACACAAGGGTCTTCAGGGACTCAACTCCCCAGCTGGGGATCACCTGGAGCTATATAGTATTCTACTGGTCTGCAATGCAATACATAATCGTGCAGGGTCCCGTTTTGCAGGGTCCAGTGCCGTCCATTTCTGCACGTCATTCCACTGAGTGTAGCCGAGTTGTAGGAAATGAATTTGTAAAAAGTCCACTCTCCTAATCGAAGATGGAGACTGCACAGATATGACCATCACAAAAGACACTACCAAAAAAATGAAGTCCTGCTAATCGGGGAGGGGGTTTTGCCTTGTAGGATGTGGCAACATAACTATCAAAACGGATATGAAGATACCATGTCCTGGGATGTGTAAGGAAAACTATTGACAAAGACTGAGTAGTTGGGCATGTATAAAACCATATTCTTTCATAGGGATTTTTTTTTGTCTGTAAACGTTGCTTTAAAAACAGCAGTGTCACGTGGCAACTTTTCATCTCCCTAGGCTGGATGTGTGACCAGGTCAGTGTTTTAAACCAATGGTCACCAAACTGCAGCCTGGGGGTCAGATACAGCCCTTCGCTTGCTTTTATCTGGCCCTTGGGGCACCATTTCATCTACCGATACCAACAATTGGGTATAATTCCCCCCACTTACACCAATGAAAGGGGCACAACTCCTTCCAATAACAGCAAACGATGGGGGCACAATTCCTCCCAGTGACACAAATGATAGGGTCCAATGACAAATAATGGGGAACAATTCCTCCCACTGACTTAAACCCAAAAACCCACAATTATAGTGAAAAAATCAAGACCCAAAGAGATTACCCAAAAATAAAAAATATATATAAAAAGAACAAAAATAAAATAAAGTCCAAATATGCAAAGTGTCCAAATAATGTGTTCAAACAAAGATCAATTTCTTGATAGGAAGACGCTTCCTACTCCACTGAAGATGCAAATCAATCACAGGTGCTCTTCAAATACCTCAAAAAACAAAATCTCAACATAGTATATTACCTTTTAAATCCCAGAACTAAAGTGCCACACGTGTATCATGCAAAAAAAAAAACACTCCAGAGTCACAGCACTCGTGTGAAAAGAAAATTAATAAATATCACTGCAAACTATATATAAAGTGCATAATTACCCTAAAACAAACAGATTCCAGCTTGTAATCAACCACATATGTACAGAGTGTCCTTAGATTGGTATCCTCTTGTTCCTCAGGACATATAAAAACGATAAGATCAGCAAGACAGCATCAAACTCCACATGCCCAGTATACGATCCCCTTTCCGTGTGTAGAGGGTCTCCCGATCACCAGGTAATTCCCCTTGCTACTCCTATCCAGCACTATCACTTTGTAGCTCTGGGGGACACCTGAAGTGCACCGTTACTCTCCAGACCTCCAACACACAGGGATTCCAGAATCCAAAATGGCTGCCGCAGCACTTCCGGAATCGTCACGTGCCCTGGATGCGTTTCGTCTCTACCGGACTTTGTCAACAAGGATCTTTTGGGTAATCTCTTTGGGTCTTGATTTTTTCACTATAATTGTGGGTTTTTGGGTTTAAGTCAATGAATATATGTTTTATTAGTACTTCAGGGGAAGGATATTGATATTACTTTAAGGGATTTCTGAGGATTTTATATATATATATGTGTGCTGATTTATACTTCAATTCCTCCCACTGACACCAAAACAATGGGGAATAATTTTTTTCCACTGATGTCGGGACCTTTTCTACTCCCACTGTCCGCAGTCTGGCCCTTGTAAAGTCTGAAGGACTGTAAACTGGTCCCTGGTTTAACAAAGCTGTTCTCAAATAGGTGGTTTGCTTTGTGGCATATCTTGAAATAACACATATAGATTATTACGTGATAAAACTTGCTGTTCACAGATTTATTAGAAAAAAGGGTAAAACAGTTCCATATATTAAAGCAGTAAACATTCAAAAGTTGAAGGGAAAAAAATGTAAGCACTCTTAAAATCAATTATGGCATAAAACAATACAACAGAAAGACATTGACACAATTCGGTTGAACTCCAAGAGAAAAAAAAAAAAAAAAAAAAAACACAACAACTTATATTTTGGAAAAGAATGGGCAAAGGTTAGAACTTCCATCACCAGGACAGAAAGGGTAGATAATTTCTTCAGGTGGGTAAACAGACAAGGAAAAAAAAAAAAAAAAAAAAAAAAAATATGTTTTTGTTGCTGTATGCACCCCAACTGAGAATTGTCTTCCTTTCGGTTAGGTCACCAGACGGTGGTAGCAAATCTGCTTAAGAGAGCACAGACAGCAATCAAAGCCAGAGAGGAATACTAACCCTTCCCAACTTCATCCTAAACAAAGTGTTTAGCTGGAGTTTTACTTTAAATTAGTAGTGCATTTGTTTGCATTGCATTATTCATAGGACAGGCAGAGAAGACAATTTATGTAAAGATAGAAATTGTCCATCAGAATTGACAATCAATGTATCCTTGTTGTTCACCTATATAGTTCAAAATGTATTATTAGTTTGATAGCAGGGTGGCAAAATGTCTGAAGTTTAAATTTTTTTCCCTAGCTGTACAAATAAAGGCAGGTCCGGTGTATTTTTGAACTGCCAAAACGTGGTTATAGAACTAACCAAGATCCATGGCAGTGTATTCAGTGTATTGTATTGGCTGGGAACCAGCTACCATCCAAATACGTACTCCATGGCTTTAGATACTAGACCTTCATCTTTTCTAGGCGTCTGTTTGTCAGATACCACCTGCAAAAGATAAATACAGAACATCTTAAAGCCATTTGGACAGCACCTTTTTTTTTTTTTTTTTTTTTTATAAAACAAACAGTTTAGAGATAAGATCTTTAGGGTATGGGGTACAGTGCACTCTTCAAAAGGTTGCAGGACAGCTTACAAACCATTATGAGATTAACACACATTCAGATTTACAAAATTCCTTATCTTGGGATTACTGTAAGACTTGTATTCTTAGACTGTGTTAAATGTAGCTACCTTTAGGTGATTAAAAACTGGCAAGAAAGTATGCCAAAAGCTCCCCAGAAGGCACCATATAACCCAGCCAAAATTCCTATTAGCTAAAGCATACACTGCAAGACTTGTATGCTTAGACCATAGGACATTGCTATGTTTCCCACATCTGTCTGGCTAACCGTACTGCTAACATGCCCACAGGCAAAGGTTAAAAATCTTAAGGTGACTGCTTGAAGCACCATGTGGCAATCATGAGTATGTTGGATTGAAAATTGGCAAAAGAAACTACTCTGAATGAGGCTACCATCAAGCCCAGAACCCTCATGCAGAAGCAAACCAAGGGAATGCGGCTTTGACCTGAGGGTCCTCATGTGAGTCCTTAGGGAAGAACCCTTTTCTTGTGGAAGAAAAGAAAAATTTTGGATTGGGCTCTATCCAATATTTGGCTCATGTACTACAGATGGCGTGAGGGCTGGAGAGCTGACTTTAGAAATTGTTAACCAAGATTTTGGCTGGCTATTTCCTCAGTAGGTCATCCAGGTAACTTGTGACATGAATACCCTGGTTTGTAGAAGCCAAGCAAGCACATTTTGACTACTTGGGGTTCAGAGGATAGCCCAAATGATAGTGCTACTAAAATTTGAAAAAGTGTTGGTCTCCCACAGTAAAATGCAGAAAAAACTGTAGGGGGAGGGGAATGGGGATGCGTAGATGGGTATATAGTAGGTCTACTGATGCCAGACGTTCCCCTCATCTTAGAAAAGCAATGACATTGAAAATATGGTATACAAAGATTGGTTTAGAGATGCAAGTCAGGCATTGTTGGGCTGACTTGATTTTGATTTTTTGATTTTGATTTTGGGGCTGTGAAGTTGGCGCAAGGCATTCATTAATTCTGCCACCTTTCTATGGTAGATTGGAAAACAAAAAATTTTTTTAAAAAAAAAATAACGGAGTAGGGGGCAGAGAGAGAAACCCTTTGGCATGACCGACTGAACCCAGATATCCATTACATCTCAAATACAGACTGGCAGAAATGACAACAGGAATCCCTCACATTTAAAGAGTCTGGATGCCCCTTCATTGTGAGGAAGGCTTCCAGGTAGGCTTGATAGACTTGAGAGTCCAAGATGCTAAGCCTTGGTTTGGAAGTAGACAGCCGGGGAAAAGTGAAAGGAAATCTTTTGCTGAGAAGTAGAACCCATAAGAGACTCAAGCTGTTTCTTGTGAGTATTAAAGCACATCAGCTTGAAGCTGAAAAGCCTGAGAAAAACCATCACAAAATCTAATAGAATACAACTTTGACAGGAGCAGGAAGAAACCTGGCCCTTATAGTGCCGAGAGCCAAAACTCCAATCTAGACCCAACTGCAGGAAGAAAAAGATTGTCCCACAGAGAAAATTAGGGGAGAAGTCAGACACTAACTGACGTATGCGTTCTACATTCAATGATAGGCATTGAGGAAGCAGCCTTTAGTGGTCTTGAAAATCAAATCCTGAGATGCTCGTTTCTCAAAACCTGGTCTTCATTGGTCACACACGTTCAAGCCAGTCACCAAGATACAAGATAGTAATTTAATCCTTGAAACAAAAATATGCTATATGGTCAAGAGCATGGAACGTTTGCCAATAAAACCCCTGTGGCAGTCTGAAGCAATGAGGATCACCACTATGCCCTCATGTGTGAAGCAGACAAGGAAGAAGCTTAAGCTTAAAACGGATGAAGGAAAGAAAAAAAAAAAAAAAAAAAAAAAAAAAGGGGCACAGGTCAGTGTACTGATCCCATGGAGTCACCAGAGCATCCACTGCTTCCTACTAGAAGACATCTATGCTTTGATACAAACCTGTCTAGTTTTGTTGAAACTAGAGGCCATAAAAAGGTCCACAAACTGCATCCCCCACCTGCAAAACATGTCCTGAACACCCCCAGATGTAGAAACCAATTATACTCATGAAGGTAACTACCAATTGTCTATGTCTGGAAAGAATAAAAAAACGGGCAAAGCAAGAACTTGGAAGTTATGCGCCAAAGGAAAAGGACCAAATCTACCTCTTTTGCTGTGGCAAGACTCCTGGTTCCTCCATGTAGGGTTTATATATGCCACCAATGTGGCACGATCTGACTAAAATGCAGATCAAATGACCTGCCAGTAGATTGGTCTAACACTGAAGAGGCAGCCAAATTCCCTCAAATTTCCAGGATACTGATTAAGAGACAGACAAATCCAATGACCAAGTCCTCTACACCAACAGGGTGACCAGGGCTCCTCCCCAGCCTGACATCTGTCATGAGGATCTTCCAGAAGACAGGAAAGATTTCCATGATTGCAAGGCCAACAGGCCAGGGACAATCTAGTCCTCAGTACCAAAAGAAAAATATCAGTCTCTAAAGAACTCAAGACTGAAAACAGCACTAGTAGATGCATGGTCTGGAACTAGAAGGATCATCCTGTTGCTTCTAAGGACAGAAACAATCCTAATTTTGGATGGACGCCTCAGAGGCTAGCCTATTAGTCAAAAAACAGAGCAACCCAGAAGCCACCAAGGCCATGGGTAAATCAAATATAGAATCTGTGGGAGAGGTAAAAACCTCAGTCAAGAATGGCAGAAGAACCAGCCACACCCAATGGAGCTAAAGATGACTCCAATGACAGGATAACAGTCTATTAGCTGAGGGTAACAGGATTCCAGGCTGCAGATGCAGACGGCACCATCAATAGGTGTACCGCAAGCCGCCATGGAGCCATTAGTAGAGTGAGCTGGGCCAAACATTACCACAGAACTACCCAGTGTTTAGAATCAAAATATGTTACAACTGCGTGCCTGTAATACAATGTAGAGCTCAGGGTAAAAGGCAAGGTCTCATGCATTAATGAAACAGAGCTGGTAGCAGGCAAGGGTCAGAAGGCAGAAGATGGCCAAAATTGCTATAGGTAGTACATGAAACGTTAATCTTCAGTTCATTTATGTTGTCTATGTGGCAAAATAGGCAGGAAACGGGGAATTTTAAAAAAAGAGGATAATGACCTATGTAAAGGAGGTAGCCCCCAATGCTTTTACTAGAATGTAGTCTGTCTGGAAAGCACTTTAGGTGGAAAATCAACTGCCCAAAGTTCCCTTTCAAGCTACACCCGCAAGGTCTAGTCCAGCAGGGACAGGATGCAGTACTTCAAAAGCCAGACTGAGGTTGGCTGCACTGGACAGCTGCAATGTAAGAGAATCTATAGCAGTGATGTAGAGAAGAGTCTCGCATTAAGAAGAAAAATCTGAAAAAGGGACAAAAAAAAAAAAAGTTTTCAATGCAAATGCTAAAATTGTCTGGCTGCATTGCCGACCCCTCGAGCCAAAATTTTTTTACTTTTGGCTCCAAGAAAAAAAAAAAAAAAAAAAGTTTTGTTGATGTCCATACTTGTTCTGGGTCAGTGGTTTCAAGTGATGAAACCAGATACTCAACAGCCAGACAAATAGCATTTTCAGAAGTCCCTACTAGAGTAGACCTTAAATACAGTAAATAAAATCTGTGAAGAAAAAAAAAAAAAGTGTACATTCACTAGAGACGTACGCTAACCACTAAAATCTGGGTACAGAATATACATAAATTATTCATTAGTGTTAAACAGCTGCATGCTTAGGTTACTGTAGAATTTCAGTACTAAGTATCCACCACCAGCTCAAACAGACTTACCTGGTAATCACTAGTTGAGGCTTTATAAGCTGCAGCAAGGGGTCTCATTGTTGATCTTGGAGTAGACACTGGTTGGGTAGGGGTACCTAATGTCTTAATTGGTGGAGTGAAGACAGAGTTGACCGAAGATAATGAGGTCTTTTCACCGCTATCCATTATGCTCTAAATGTGAAAATATATTACATGTGGTCAGCGACAATGTGTATTTTACTGTAAAATTACAGAATGAAGAATTTATTAAAGGCCAAGTTCACCTTTAGGAACATGTAAACTACTCCTAAGCACCCCCACCTAATCCCCTGGGGAAGAGTTAAGAGCAAAAAGCTGGAGGAAGAGTATGCAGGAGCCTGACATTTCACCCGCAATCCATTTTTCCTGAAAACTATTCAGTGTTGTACTACTGTGATTAGCTGCGACTGGCCACAGCTAACCACATGATACAGATGGGCTGTGATTGGCATTGTCTGTACCATGTAAAATACTGTGACCAATCACAGAGCTCATCACAAATAGTACACAATGAAATGCATGAATCAGAGCCTTTCATTGTGTACAATTATGTGATCTGCTGTGATTGGCCACAGCAATCACATGGTACTGGGAGCAGGCCAGCTGTGTCACAGTGGGTGACAGATCGTGGCTCGATCCTGGGGGGGGCATGATAGGATGTCCTCCTAGGATAATAGGGCTCCAACCCAGCCGTCAACAGGCCAGGCAGGAAGGTGTTTAATATAGTTCTTATAAGTCTTATAGAACTGTGCACACGGGGGGGGGGGGCTTAGAAAATAAAAACAAACACACACACACACACACACACACACACACACACTTACTTGACAGCAGTTTTACCTTATCTATGCAAGGTTTCACACCAATCATAATGCAGTCACCAAATATCTTGCCATCTTTACTTAAAGCCTTCCTGGCTTGTAATTTGGACTGATATTGCACATGCATCCAGTTTCCGGTATTGGACATCTGTAAAAGAAGGGGGAATTAATAACTATATAGAACACATTATTGCCAGCTCGGAGGAAGGTGGTCCAAGGACAAAAACTCACACTTACCACATGTTTTATTATATTGCCATACTGAGCAAACTGTAATAGAATATACGAGGCAGAAGCTTGTGGAAACCTAAAAAAAAAAAAAAAAAAAAACTTAATTTAAAAAGGTTTAATTTACCATACACTCTTACATGCACAGGACTGATCTCCATATCAGCTCACTAAACCTACAGTAGGCATTAGTGATGGCTTGGTCACAGAATGTCTACAGCTATCACATATCCATTTATGGTATTTACCAACACCCCTATGCACTAAACCATATGATTAATTTTATCAGATTTAGATAAAAAAAAAAAAAAAAAAAAACCCCACACAAAGTAATTTTATTGTTCATTCAGTTCCTGATGATACAAAGTACATGTGGTGCTTTATCCCACCTTCCTAGGTGCTGTAAAACACTAGCTACAATATATATTTTAAAATATAAAAATGGAAGATATCAACTAGATCTAGTTAAGCCAAATGTAAGCCAACTTAAAAACACTGATTCAATGCATTTTGTAATTACATATGTACAGGGGCAGCAATGTCTGCATTACACATGCAAGAACGGTTTCCTGCTTTGAAGTGCTACACAAGGGTTGTGATTTACTGCTCCTTTATACAATGCAGGTCTGAGAAGGCCTACTCCTTGTAACAAAGCACTGAGAGTGACTGATACACGTCACAGTTGCTAAAAAAGGGAGGCTGAGTGATTGCCCTCCAGTGACTAAAGTTATTGTATTTAGAGATTTTCTGAACGTGGAACATGCCAAAATGTTTAAGTTTTGAGTCACTGACCAAGAAAAAGTAAGAGATGGGGAATACTGGCTTTTCTTAAACAAACATACATTTGCAGCACATTTTGTTTCAGGTCTGACTTGAAAAGTACTAAAGCCAGACAAATAGCATTTATCAAAAAAAGGTAGGGAGCAATAGCAGCCACCATGTTTCTTTAGTGAAAACTGGCGCAATGTTAAATATATTAAGTGGAATCTGCCAAAGCTAAAACAACAGTATAAAATCCAGAGATGGAAAAGGCCATTTTCCAATTATCTGTCTGCATGCCAGCTCTAGGGCAGAGTTACAGATCTGCAAATTTCATCACTGTTCTAGAACAACCATGCAGCACAGAGAATAGTATATGTCAAGTTTTCCCGTATATGCATTTTGTTAAATAACAAGCCTCAAAGTCAGCCTTACGGACAAAAAAAAAACAAAAAAAAAACAAAAACAAAAAAACAAAAAAAAAAAAAAAAACACAACACCCCACCACCAAACTGACCCGATTCCCCATCCACACATTTGGAATGGATGGAAAAATCCTCCCCGCTATGTCATTGTATTCCCGACAGCAAGAAGACTTCCCCTGCTGTCAGAACACAGGATGATTACACAGAAGTTGATCAGTGGGTTGGCTTCGGATTAACCCTAGTGGACATACATGGAGCAAAATTCGGCTGATCCCTACTAAGCCGGCCAAAAACTTTGCTTCATGTTCTGTATGGCCAGTTACTTCAGATAAAGTGTATACATTTTATTCTACACTGATCAAGAAAACTTTGGTCCTGACGAAACAGCAAGATACGCCTATCGGCAAAATGCGTTGACGTCACGTCAGTGACATCACTACCGGCCGGCACATTGGCGCCATACACCAAGTCCTGGTGGGGACACAAATATACGCTCTTGCTGGGCATTCATCAATCCACAAGTGTACCTGGAGGGAAGCGGAGCCCGTTCATCAACAGTCCCGAGATGCTGGCGACTGCCTCTGGGATTGAATCTAACAATAGGAGAAATCGTGCACCATCTCTTATTCACTGCACAGGTGGCGAGTGGAACTTTATATGGAAACGGAATGACAGACATAGGGCCTTCTCTACTTGAAGCTTTATAGTGACTGCCATATTGACTTTTTATGTCACTTTTTTCACAGGATGGGGACACGTCATACTTCGTAGATGGTGCGCAGCTCCCTACCCCCACTATCCTGTGTGGATATTCACATTTTTTCCCATGTCAGCTATACATTAACCACTTGCCTACCGGGTACTTATACCACCTTCCTTACTAGGCCAATTTTCGCAATTTGAATGACAATTGCGCGGTCATACAAGATTGTACCAATATGAAATTTTTAGCATTTTTTTCTCATAAATAAAGCTTTCTTTTGGTGGTATTTAATTGCTGCTGAGTGTTTTACTTTTTGCACTATAAACAAAAAAAATTGCAAAAACTTATGAAAAAAAAGAAAAAAAAAAAAAAGTTTCATTATTTTTGCAAACAGGTCATTTTTCTCCTTCACTGATGTGCATTGATGTGGCAGCACTGACGGAAGGGAAATGTATGTTCATTGCCCTCCATTTTCTCATCTTATATTGTTTAGATAATTAAATGTATAGTTGTGTGTCAGTTATGTGCTATAGGCCTGCACTCATGTATTCTTTTAAATCTAGTTCTGCTCAAGGAATGAAAACTAACCAATTATTTCTTTGTACTAACAGCACCTGTTTCTGCTAGAATATAGGTAAAAGTCAAATACTTCTCTCCCATGGGGAAAATAACTGTTGGTTACTTGAAACGGATTTCAAGGTCTGAGAAATCTCACGTTCACAGCCTTGACAAGTATCCAGCAAAATCCTATTGTATGGTTTTCTGTGTTACAATATAAGAAGAATCTACGAATAAAGATTCAGATTGTCTTCTGGAAACCTGTGTGTGCATGCTAATGTCTTCCTTGCAGAAGACAGGTCTTAGGCCTAATGTGGAACCGGAACCTACCAGTGATCGTTAGAAGCACAAATCCCTTTCACTGACTGGCGCAACTGCTGGGAACTGACTGGTGGCACTGCTGGGCTGCACTGATGGGCACTGGTCATACGACGGCCTCTCAGAACTGGCCGGCCGCAGTGCAGCCGTTTTGGCTATCTGCCACTGGCAACTATTTAAGGGAGGCATTCAGGCCACATGCCGGCGGTGAATTACATTTATATCATCATTGGCAGGGCTCTGCCACTCCAACTTCAGATGGCGGATGTCTCATGAAGAAGTCATTATTGATACCAAGTTTTGTCTAAGTTCCATGATCACCCAAATGTCATATTTCAGACACTATTTTCAATTATACTAGTCACGTTCAACTTGGAAGCCCTTCAAAAAGGCATATCACATTTACCTGATTATTGTGTCTTAAAGTAATGACATTATGAGTCTCAATATCTTCTATTGGCGCACATACCAGCAGTTTAGTTCATTCATGTGCGGTTTACATTTTTGTTTGTTTGATTCATGCCTAGAGTTGAATTTTTACTAGATCTCTAGCACTGTCTAGTTGGGATCCTCAGTCCATATATCTCATTCGTACAAGTGTAATGTTTTTACATTATTGATGCACAGCCTTATATATCAATAAATTTTTGTATACATCCCCAACATGGTGGCGTTTCCCATGGGCCTGTGCTGTTTACACACAATACCTAGTGCTGTTGTATTTACAGCATAACTACATACATGGCTAGTCATGACATCCTTTTATTATTTTTGTGTTACCTTGTTTCTTTTGATATTGTCTCATCTTGTGGTGATGGCCAACTGTGGTCTTTACCCAAGTGTCTAAATATGTGCAAATTTTGCAATAAAGCATAATTTTTGATGACTTCCTAGGTATCGCTTTCTGTCCATAATGTAACCACTTTCTTTGTGAATCCTTTTTCACAGTTTTTTTGCCGTGTCTTTGGGTTACGGGGCAGATAAAATACGTTCAGCGAAAAAAGTGATTAAAAAAAGTCTCAATAGCTTTTGTTGTTATTCAATAGGACTTCTGATTAACCCTAGTGAACATACATGGAGCAAAATTCAGCTGGTCCCTACTAAGCCAGCCAAACTTTGCTCCATGTTCCGTATGGCCAGTAACTTCAGATAAAGTGTATACATTTTATTGTACACTGCTCAAAAAAAAATTTAAAGAAACTTTTTAATCAGAGGTCAATTAAACCACTGGGATATTGATCTGGTCAGTTAATCAGCAGAGGGGGTTGTTAATCAATTTCAGCTGCTTTGGTGTTAATGAAATTAACAACAGGTGCACTAGATGAGCAACAATGAGACGACCCCCAAAAACAGGAATGGTTTTACAGGTGGAAGCCACTAACTTCCCCCCCCCCCCCCCCCAACTCATCTTTTCTGGCTGTTTTTCACTTGGCTAGGGTCAGTTTCACCACTGGTAGCATGAGGAGATTCCTGGACCTTACAAAGGTTGCACAGCCAGTCCAACTCCTCCAGAATGGCGCATCAATACACATGCCATTGGCAGAAGGTTTGTGGTGTCTCCCAGCACAGTCTCAAGAACATGGAGGAGATTCCAGGAGACAGGCAGTTACTCTAGGAGAGCTGGACAAGGCTGTAGAAGGTCCTTAATCCATCAGCAGGACCGGTTTCAGCTCCTTTGTGCAAGGAGAAACAGGATAAGCACTGTCAGAGCCCTACAAAATGACCTCAAGCAGGCCACTGGTGTGAATGTCTCTGACCACACAATCAGACACAGACTTCATGGGGTGGCCTGAGGGCCGATGTCTTTAAGTGGGCCCTGTGCTCACTGCCCGGCACCATACAGCTAGACTGACATTTGTCATTAAACACAGGAATTGGCAGGTCCAAAAGGGTCTGGAGAAGCCTTGGAGAACATTATGCTGCCTGTAAACTTCATTCAGCATGACAGTTTTGGTGGTGGGTCAGCGATTGTCTGGGGAGGCATATCCATAGGAGGATGCACAGAACTCTACAGGCTAGACAAATGGCACCCTGACTGCCATTAGGTATCGGGATAAAATCTTTGGACCCACTGTCAGACCCTACGCCAGTGCAGTGGGTTCTGGGTTCCTCCTGGTGCAGGACAATGCCCAGACTTATGCGGTGAGATAATGCAGGAAATTCCTGGAGGATGAAGGAATTGATGCCATTGAATGGTCTCCACGCTCTCCTGACCTAAATTCAATAGAACACCTCTGGGATATCATGTTTCAGTCTGACGCCGCCAGGTTTCACCTCAGACTTTCCAGCTACTCATTGATGCCCTGGTCCAGATCTGGCTGGCACAGGCCACCATCTGTCGTCTCATTAGGAGCATGCATTGCACAACATTCTTAAAGAATGCAAAATATTCTGTTTAACAAATGCTTCCATTTCACCCCCCCTCCCCTTCACTCACATTGTTACACTGTCAACCTTCGACACAACCTTGTAAGAAATCTTCCTTGCACCATCGATAAAGTATATTTAAGATAAAAAGCACACAAAGTAGTACAAATGACCTGATATTCCTTGTGGGAAGATACTGTGGAAAAAAAAATTACAAAGACAGAAACAACTCACCCAAAGACAGTTACCCATGTATCATCCAGCTGGTCTTCAGATGTCAATGCATCGCCCTGTGTATAAAAGGGATCTAGCTGAGCAGGTGACAATGTTGCTTTTCTACTCTGGTTGATGGTTGCTGGGCTAAAGACGCTTGAAGCTGTTTACAAGAAACAAAAAATTTACATTCAGGCAACATCTTCTAACTTATTTTCAAAGACAGCAATCACAAAATCACAGTGTGCGCATTTGGGGCCGCTCACCAGTCAGTGCAAGCCTGTCATATTAGGACAAGCAGTTGTGTCTGTACAGTCGTGAAGTCTCTATAGAGAAACATGGGCTACCTTCACGCAACTCTAGGCTCACGTCATGGAGCCTTTTATATTTACATAAGAGCACAAACCTGTAAAATACTTCTGATCAAGTCAGAGCTATATTAGATGAAGCGAACAAGGGGCTTGCTTTAATAAACTTGACAGCAGAGAAAGGATATTCTGCACATGGAGGCATACAGAAGGTAATTTTTCGAAAGACATCCTTTTACAGAATTTGCAAACTAGAAATGTTTTGGGTGGCATTCAGTTAAACTGTTAAAGCAAAAGCTTTTTCAGAAACCTGACAACTATTGTCACAACTGTTCTTGTTTTGTTTAAATGCTATTGCTGACTTTAACAGAACAATTATAATCAACCGGTTGTGTAATGAATAAAGTACAAGCTCTGCAATTGCAGAATCCTGGTTTTCAACTAAACTCTTTGATCGCAAGGGCTTGCTCTACATAGCATTTTAGGACTATCAACTTAATTAAAGCAATTCTGCAAATGTTACATGGGATGTGATAAATGTAACACATTCAATAATGTTTAAAGTCAGAGTTAGAATTTAAAATTTTGCAAGACTGATTTTCATTAAAAAAAAAAAAAAAAAAAAAAAAAAAAAAAATATGTGGTCTGTTGCTCATCTAACATCTTCACACACAGGAAAAAAAATACAATCAAAAGAAGAAAAAGTTTCTATCCATTATTTAACCTACAAAGTGCATAAATGGGTTAAAAAAAAAAAAGAAAAAGTAAGAGGCGAAGAGACATTTTAGCTAACTCCAGGCACAGCAAAACTTTCAGGTTTTTCCTTTTACTTTTCCTTTTTTTCTTTAAATCACTTTTATTGTTGTCACAGGGAATGTCAATATCCCTGTGATAGCAAAAACGCAATGAGAGGTACTCTTGTGAGAAATCTGGGGTCTATTAGACTCTAAATCTCTCCTCTGCCGCAAGATCAGTGTGATCAGATGCTTTCCCAATTTGAAAGTGGCATGGTTAATATCCAGAGAAACAAATGATTGTAGCTTCCAGTCTCTTAGAACAGAGAGGATTGGAGCCATTTTGGTCTCTGCTGTATGGTCAGCTGGCAAAACTGCAGGCTGCATTCTCAGATTCTCCTGTGGGACGGGAGCGCCCAAGAAAACCGTGGAAGATGGTGATAGGGTGGGGTAGGGTTGGGGGGGAGGGGGGGGGGCAGTGCAACATCCCTTGCTGCTGCTTGTAAAAAAACAGGGGGTGTGTTCACACTCAAGAATAGAAAGCGATGCAAGGGTATGGGGCTTTGCCCAGAACCACCACAGATTGCGAGCAGGTGGTTGGTAAAAGTAGTACAAAAAAAAAACAAAAAAAAAAAAAAAAAAAACCACACTTAAAAATGAAATACTGTATTGGACGTTTATTCTCAATTCATTTTTTAACTTATTTTGGGGTTTTGTGTGTGCTTTTATATGGAATGGGTTTCCATGGCCGAGCAGCTGCATTCCAAGCCTTACATCACCAAGTACAATACAAAGCGTTGGATGCAGTGGTGTAAAGCACGCCGCCACTAGACTCTAGAGCAGCGAAGATGTGTTTTCTGGAGTGATTAATCACGCTCCTCTGTCTGGCAATCCGATGGACTTGTCTGAGTTTGGCAGCTGCCTGACTGTACGGTGCAATGTATAAATATGGTGAAGAGGGGGGGGGGGGGGGGTTGTTTATGGTGTGGGGTTTTTCTAGGGGTTAGGCTTGGCCCCTTCGTTCCAGTGAAGGGAAGCACAGGTATATTTAAGTTCCAGGCAAAGACAATATCAAGTAACTAACTGCTAATGACATGTACGAACCATGAAAGCTTCGATACATTCAGAAAGTTTACTCAATCTACCTTAAAGTGGAGCTCCAACCTCCCCCAGAAAATTAAAAAAAGTCAGCAGCTACAAATACTGGAGGGGAGATCTTATCCGGGAGTACCTATCAAAACCAAGTACCGATTTCCCCCAAAATGTGCCAAATGTGAAAGAGGAGAAGGCAAACAAGCAGAGCTTCCGCTTTTGGGTGAAGTTCCACATATAGTTTAACATAGTATTACGTAACCCAATTGCTCCTCCTGTGCAAAATCACAAGTTTGAATCTGAGCGGTGGCTGTGAAGAAGCAACGCTACTACTGGACTATACCATCGCAATGATACATCAGGATAGAAAATTATATATATATAATATATATATATATATATATATATATATATACATACACACACATATATATATATATATATATATATACACATACACACATATACACACACACACACAGTCAGGTCCATAAATATTGGGACATCAACAAAATTCTAACATTTTTGGCTCTATACACCACCACAATGGATTTGAAATGAAACGAACAAGATGTGCTTTAACTGCAGACTGTCAGCTTTAATTTGAGGGTATTTACATCCAAATCAGGTGAACGGTGTAGGAATTACAACAGTTTGCATATGTGCCTCCCACTTGTTAAGGGACCAAAAGTAATGGGACAATTGGCTTCTCAGCTGTTCCATGGCCAGGTTTGTGTTATTCCCTCATTATCCCAATTACAATGAGCAGATAAAAGGTCCAGAGATCATTTCAAGTGTGCTATTTGCATTTGGAATCTGTTCCTGTTAACTCTCAAGATGAGATCCAAAGAGCTGTCACTATCAGTGAAGCAAGCCATCATTAGGCTGAAAAAACAAAACAAACCTATCAGAGAGATAGCAAAAACACTAGGCGTGGCCAAAACAACTGTTTGGAACATTCTTAAAAAGAAGGAACGCACTGGTGAGCTCAGCAACACCAAAAGACCCGGAAGACCACGGAAAACAACTGTGGTGGATGACCGAAGAATTCTTTCCCTGGTGAAGAAAACACCCTTCACAACAGTTGGCCAGATCAAGAACACTCTCCAGGAGGTAGGTGTATGTGTGTCAGTCAACTATCAAGAGAAGACTTCACCAGAGTGAATACAGAGGGTTCACCACAAGATGTAAACCATTGGTGAGCCTCAAATACAGGAAGGCCAGATTAGAGTTTGCCAAACGACATCTAAAAAAGCCTTCACAGTTCTGGAACAACATCCTATGGACAGATGAGACCAAGATCAACTTGTACCAGAGTGATGGGAAGAGAAGAGTATGGAGAAGGAAAGGAACTGCTCATGATCCTAAGCATACCACCTCATCAGTGAAGCATGGTGGTGGTAGTGTCATGGCGTGGGCATGTATGGCTGCCAATGGAACTGGTTCTCTTGTATTTAATGATGATGTGACTGCTGACAAAAGCAGCAGGATGAATTCTGAAGTGTTTCGGGCAATATTATCTGCTCATATTCAGCCAAATGCTTCAGAACTCATTGGACGCCACTTCACAGTGCAGATGGACAATGACCCAAAGCATACTGCAAAAGCAACCAAAAAGTTTTTTAAAGGAAAGAAGTGGAATGTTATGCAATGGCCAAGTCAATCACCTGACCTGAATCCGATTGAGCATGCATTTCACTTGCTGAAGACAAAACTGAAGGGAAAATGCCCCAAGAACAACCCAGCGTCTGTTGATGTCTATGCGTTCCAGACTTCAGGCTGTAATTGACTGCAAAGAATTTGCAACCATGTATTAAAAAGTGAAAGTTTGCTTTATGATTATTATTCTGTCCCATTACTTTTGGTCCCTTAACAAGTGGGAGGCACATATGCAAACTGTTGTAATTCCTACACCGTTGACCTGATTTGGATGTAAATACCCTCAAATTAAAGCTGACAGTCTGCAGTTAAAGCACATCTTGTTCGTTTCATTTCAAATCCATTGTGGTGGCCAAAAATTTTAGAATTGTGTCGATGTCCCAATATTTATGGACCTGACTAAATATATATATATATATATATATATATATATATATATATATATATATATATATATATATATATATATATATATATATATATATATATATATATATATATATATATATATATATATATATATATATATATATATATATATATATATATATATAGACACAGGCACAAGTTTCACACTTGACCGTGTATGCCACCAGAATAAATTAAAGCAAAAAACAAACAATCCAAATGAATTTGAAGTGCAGAATTTCAGATTTAATTCAAGGGGTTGAACATAAATTTCAAGTACAATATTTAGGAACTGCAACTTTTTTTTTTTTTTTTTTTTTAATACAGTCTCCCCATTTTCAGGGGATCAAATGTAATTGGACAAATTAATATAATCATAAATAAAAATGTTGTTGCTGAGAAAATGACTGTCTGAAGTCTGCAACCCATGGACATTACCAAAGACTGGGTTTCACCCTGATGGTTTGCCAGGCTCTAACTGCAGCGGTCTTCAGTTCTTTGTTTCTGCCTTTAGTTTTGCCTTCAGAAAGTGAAATGCATGCTCAATTGGGTTGAGATCAGGTGATTGACTCAGCCATTGCAGAATATTCCACTTTTCCTTCAATAGCTCCTGGGTTGCTTTTGCAGTGTTTTGGATCATTGTCCATCTGTACGGAGAAGCACCATCCAATCAACTTTGCTGCATTTGGCTGAATCTGGGCTGACAGTATCTCTAAATACTGCAGAATTCATCCGGCTGCTTTTGTCTCATCAATAAACACCAGTGACCCGGTTCTACTGGAAGCCATGCATGCCATCACACTGCCTCCACCATGTTTTACAGATGACGTTGTGTGCTTTGGAACATGAGCTATTCCAAGCCTTCTCCACACTTTTCTTCCCGTTATTCTGGTACAGATTAATCTCAGTTTCATCAGTCCAAAGCATGCTTTTCCATAACTGGTCTGGCTTTTTTAGTTTTT